CAATAGTCAGTCAATAAAAGTACCCTATACTTTTTCCCCCTCCAGACTTACACAGCGTAAGGGGGAGATGGGGGTTAAAGTGGCCGGGTAAAAGGAGGGGGGGGGGGCAGGTCGCGTCACCAGGCTCTGGGAGATTCATCAACATTCTGTCCGACTGCGGCTGGCGCCACCCCATAGCGGCCTGGCCCGGCCCTGCCCGAGCGGCGCGACGCCGTCGAGGCCGAGAGCGACGCCCGGCCCCGGCCACCGAGAGCGCCGCGAGGGCTGCTGGCCAGGCCAGTCAGTCCGGAGGTGAGGGCGTTAAGTGGAAGTCCGTGTCGCGCGCACTCGGCCGTGCTATCGCGTGCCGCGCCGGCCCGGCCGGCTCCATTTGTCAAGAGATGACACTCGCCGCGCCACTCCGGAGGGGTATTGCGCCGAAAAATAAACGGAACTGTTAGACGAATTGGTTGACGGATCCGTCAATGCAGAATAGTAAAAAAGTGGTGGATACCAACCACGGTGGTATCCACACCACGAAAATAAAAACAAGCCCTCTTATCGTGGCAGATTCTGACAGTCGGACTGTGTCCGGGATGACCGCGTCGTGGCGAACCGAGTAAATAACAGGCACCCGCTCACGGCAGAAATCAATTGCACGCTGGTCTGAAGACGTCGAACGTAAAATTATCGCCGTTCCAGGAAGACCCCCATTTACCTCCCGCCCCTCTCCCTTCGCCGGCGTCGCTCAGACGCACATGCTCCGTCAAGCTCGTCTACGAGTGCCCCCCCGCCCCTCTGGTCATGCCACTTTTCCTTGGCCCAACGACACTCGTTCGCGCGTTAACGACTTGGCATGTCATGGCGAGACAAAAAACCAAGCGCCCCTTTGGTGGTATTTAAACGGTCGGCGGCAGAGGAAGTGGTGGACTTGAGCAGTTCATGGCGGGGAAGACATCAGTACTCCCAGAACTCGGCGTAAGTACAAAATTAGGTGACTTTTATGGAACGGGGTTACGTTTTATTAACGGTTATTTGGCTGAAGGGATTTTTTTAAATCAATTTTTTGTTTAGAACGTCACGATGTTTATCCCAGGCCGGGATGTCAGCTGCCTCCTCGCTAATCTCCAAGGGCGGGCGGGCGGGCGGGTAGAGGACGTGGGGTAGGTACTAGAGTCCTTCTAGGACATTTGCCGAATTGGTCACAAGTCACAAGCAAGCTCACCTGGATTGTTTCTTGAAACTTCTCTGCCAGAATAATTTCCATTTGCTGCTACTGTACTGCCATTATTCCTCCTCATTTTAGTCTGGCGTGAAGGCACCAATATGTCAACAAACCTAGAGTTGAGTGAAAATCATCACATCGTCACTGCAACAAAAAATGACAAACACTTGTTAATGCAAAAAATGACATCAGTCTCAAAACAAAAACATTCCATATCGATCAAACATAGAAAGAACACTCACTATACACATCTATAAAAATAAATTTAATCCGTCTTGCTTCAGAAATGAAGCAGAAACACAACATTCAGTGTATTGAGGTTCGTATCAACTTGGTGATACTTCAGACAGATGTTAATTTTGATACCTAGGTTAACAGGCTGTGCTCTTCCACACGTAAACTACAACAGATAACAATACTATGAAAATTGATACAAGCAAATAGAAAGTCTGGCAACAAAAACATTCAAAGTATTCTTTTAACTTACTTCAGATGAGGAGCAACAATAAAGGATTCCGTCTCCCATAAGAATGATCTGGTCAATTTAGTGTTGATTCCTAAGTAAAATGGAAAAGTTACGTCAGACTTGCTGACCTCAGAAAAACCTTTGATTCCGTTCTTCATTTGAATGCTGCAAAAAAAAAAGAAATAAAATAACAGTAGCTAGAAAGGAATCAGATAACAGACCCAACAAATCTAAACTTTACAAAAACAAGTTATGAAGGGTGACACAAGCCAAGAGAACAGTTTTAAATGAGAATGATTGTCTGTGAGAAATCTTTGTGAACATTTAAGGAGTAACAGGTCCAATGACGGCTAACCTCAAAACTTACCTGATCATCTGGTTGGCACGTTGAAGTACAGGAATATAAGGAGGTTTCTTCCCAAGTTTCTGATTCATTTCTTACTCACACTGATTCTCCATCAATATAAAGGACTGGCACTGGGTACAACTTGCACCTTTTCACATTTTTTCACGGTGGATTGCTGCGCGCCGGCCCCCAACCACCCCAACTGATTTCATCACATTTACAAGTGGGTTTAATTTCCCCCCACATGAATCTTCGTAATTTCGCCATAGCTAGACGTTCACGCCAAACTGACTGCCATATGAACTTTAGAACGGATTTCAACACAATTTAAAAAAAAATTCCGTGCACTACTACACAACACTACGCCTGGCACACACGAAAGACGTGTTAGTGCCCGTACCAACCTAACTTGGTCATTCCATGCGATTCCACTGCAAGCTATTGCCAACAGAATGCTACCAAATGTCACTAGCAACAACATATTTGTAATCAAAATTCGTACAATTTTGACAAACGACACCCCCACGCACAAAACACATTCACACACATTGCGGACGTGTGGCCCGATAATTCGGTGACTTCAGCCCAGCTCGATACAAAGTATTGACGACCCCGCGCGATTCAAACTGATGAACCTTTCTCTTCCAAGCTGAAATGCAAAAGAATGCATGGAACAAGAAAACGGAAGTCACCATGTTCAAGCATAGCTATTTCCGTTTTCTTCCTCCCCGCATTCTTCAGTATTTCAGCTTTACCGGAATGCTTTTTTTTTGTGATTAAACCTGTTAAATGTTAAACGGGAAAGAGACGGAGTTGAGTTGAGCCCGAAATCCCCGTATCAAAGTAATCCACTGCAGTACAACGTGGTATGGGCCGGACAACAGGAAGGAGGGCGTGAGGGGTAGAGCAAGATACCTATGCTTATTAGGGGTTTGTCTAGCTAAAATTGCCAATCTTTTCTGCCTCTCCCTTGGGGCGAGCGAGAGGTGGGGGGGGCTTCAGTCCCCTCCCCTCCCGGTCAGTCAGGAAGGCCGTAATAAGCATCCAGCCGCATCCAGCATAAGACCGGACTCTGATGACGCCTAATAGGTAGGCAACATATTGCCCGCAGTGCATGCGTGTACTGCGGGGTGGCCTACCCCGAGTTTCGCAGGCGCCGACCTTCCGCGATTTGCTGCAGGAATTTGAGGTCGCACTAACTAGACAGTAGACAATCTCTTACTCCCCAGAGAAGAACATTACAGTCGTCGTGTGGAGATCAAATACGTTTGGTCGGACCAAACACTCCCCATCGTTCATAACAGCGATGGACGACCACATGGTGGTGCTGGAAGGGAACGAAGCATCCATGACCCCCACTGCTCTGCTTTTACCCACCCCTTTCCACCCGCACCGCTTTCCCGATAAAACCGTCCAAGTTATTTTAATAGCGGCTGAATGACCGGTCATTGAGCGCTAAATCCGTCGCTGAGCGCGTCGGCGGCGGCAGCCGCAGCAGCAGCAGCTGATACTGGACGTCCAGGCGGAGATCCGCGGCAGAGAGAAGCAGAGATAGCCCGGTCCTGCGCGGGGCTGAAATAAAACGCCATCGAGATGGTCAACCCGCCCCGCCCTGCTCGGCCCCACCCCGCCCCGCCCCGGCGAGCTCACCCGATCGTGATCAGCGGGAGGACTCCCCGAGCCGGGCCGGATAGGGCTCATCGGTTCGGTACCCCTCAAAAGGAACCGAGACGACGAGGGCCAAATATTAGTTCAGGGCGGTGGGCTTTCCGCCGGCAGGCCGTCCGTTTGATGGTGGCGGCCGGCTCGCGGGGTCGGAGCCCTATCAGACCCCCCACCCCCACCCCCACTCCCCGGCCACGCCACGCTTCCTCGCGAGGTCCTACATGGTCCACTGGGTTCACTTCCGGACACAACAGCGATGCAGCTTGATGCCGCTGGCTGGTGGCGAAAAAGACCCTCTCAGTCTCAGTCTTGGCCGGATATGCGACACAGTCGCGGAACCGGTAAGTTTGGAATGACGTCACAAGAACGTCAAAAATTGTGTTTCACCTGGATGAATTTTGACTATGGCCTTCAACTGATGTCATTTGACGAAATTCTACCCTTTGGGTAAGCTACAGATTAAGAAGGGTGGCATCGCAAAAACTTTCTTAAAACTGATTAACCAAAGCGGCCAACCGTTCAGCGCACAGAAGGGTCCGTTACAAGAAAGCGTCGAACAGATTAGTTGAACACAACCTATCTAATCTAAGGGGAAAATGATCAATGTTATACAGTTTTCTTCTTTCTTATTTATTTATGTTCAGCTAATCATACTTCTTTAGTATATGAGTTGTCATAAAGTATTATCTACTAAAACGTTGGCTGTTCTTTTGTTTGCTGTTTCATCAGTAGTTTCCGCTTGACCGGAAAACGGCGAAAACATAAAGGGGGTGCGGAACATCTTGCCAGCTCCTAGCGAGGGTGGCGCCGGGTGGCGCGGACTCGTACTCCCGGAGAAGCCCCTCCACAATCTCCCCGCCGTCGCCTCCTCCACTCCCCTGTCGCTCTTCCGACAGTGGAAATGCATCAGGCGTTGACGAGCGTGGGCCTATCATTATCAGATGCCGTCGTCGCCCCGGCCGGCGGCGCGGCGGCAGGTCCGCGCGGACAGACGGACGGACCTTCAGACGAATGGACGGCACATTGTCAAGGAGAGGTACGCGATGGCAAACTTTTCTCCTCGAGGTAGGTGCCTTTTCATGGCTGCTTCAAAGGGCCGGACCTTGAGTCTTGGCGTCTACGCAATCGAATAAGTCTACCCCACATC